AGTAGAATTGTAAATGGGCTGATTTATCAATGCCATGCTCATACTGTGCGGAACAACATACGGGGAACTGCTGATTTTTCTTTCCTCATCCGCTTAATCGTCATTTTCCCTCTACTTCTTTTGTATGTTTGTCACTCTAGTGAACTGCTATTTCCGGGGTGCCTTGATAGTCGAAGCAGACTTTATGCTAGGGAGGTGAGCAGAGTAATCCTGATTCCCCGTTTGGACTTCTCTGTTGACATCCACCCCTTGGCACTCATCAATATATATGACCTTATGCAGTTGTGAGTGCCGTAAAACCTTACTAAAATTAAACTAAACACCCCGTGAATTTAACGCGTACGATTCGTGACCTTTGATTTGAGGGTCAACGTTGAATTGTGCCAAAATGGTAGCTTTTGCCCCTCCATGAGGGACAGTGTAGCTAGCGCCGACTGTATCAAATGGATTAGATCCAATCCAGTGAGCAGTGTGCACTGGGTATTCTGCACTCTCAACTGAGGCGTTCAACTCATCGGTCAAATCGATTTGGATACGTAAATAAATCGCCTTTTTTTCTTGACAGAAACTAGAGGGGGAGAGAAGAGAAGTAGGACTTACCACCTTCTTCCTTCAACGATCTCCCACCAACCATTTTATCTTTTTCTGGTCTGAAACCGCCTTCATTGACCTAGAAGTAGACAGTCCGGGTTGGCCCTGCCGGAAGCGCCATTAAAGTAGCCCGTCTCCTGAATAATCTAAACTGCGTCGATCGGGGTGTGAAAAATGTACAAAGTTTGCGTGTGTGATTGTTTTTGACTACCCGCCTACGCCCCTTGAGCTTCAGTAATGTTTTTCTTCATCCCCTGCGCCCATAAGTGCAAACATCTCAAGATGCACTTCTGCAGCACTGCTGTCGCTGTGTTAATTAGGACGAGGCAGGTGTGTCCACAGAAGTGCTTAATAATGTACGAAGAGTCTTCGAGTCTGATGTTTCCCGTGGCCTCCCGCTGTGGGAATAACATGTACAGTATGATGTTTGATGTCGGTTGTTTTTTGTTGTTGTTGTTGTTTTTGTTGAATCGTAGCTAACAACAGCTGTATTTGGAAGCTTATAAAAAGGTATCTGTTTAAAAACAGTGTACTATAAGAGAACTGTCGGGAGTGTGGATGTCTTTCTCATTGTTTCTCTTATGTAGACTTGCATCAAGGTACCTTATAAACCTACTGTTTATTACTCTGTTAAGATGCCTTTTTCAGATATTGAAATCTGTGCTTTGTAGGTAGTAGTTGCTTACTGCCTTTGAAATGCAGGGGTGGAAAGGAAAGGCACGGGCGGGTTTGGCTTACAGTCAGATTTTAGCGATATTCAGATTTGAATGGTCGGTTGACGCGTGGAGTATGTCCAGTATATTGTGAAACTAAGATTTTTAAGTCTATAGACTCGTAGAGAGGGTGTCTGTAATCTGAGCCTCTGGTCGTGTGGAAGAAACACGAAACTGTTTTCACTATTGTGTTTGCTTTTAACATGCCGTCTGATGTGGTTTGCTCCTTCTTTCCAGTCAGACACCTATCGTCCTTACCTCTCCTTCTTTCCAGTCAGACACCTATCGTCCTTATCTCTCCTTCTTTTTGTGTTTGTTTCACTCTTGCAGCACTTCTGATCTTCGGCACTTACTCGCATATGGCCTGATTATAATTGTATTGCAAGTTCCGTAAAGCGTGTACCTCAACTTTAACCTAGTGAAAATCAATTTGGCATGTTTAGTGCGAGCCCTTAGAATCACACGCTGAAGGTATTTTTAAGGGGGCGTGACTACTAAAATATTGGTGTTTAGGTACCTTACAGTGTTCCAATTTGTATACAACCAGTTCAATAAAGCTGAGAGAGATCACTCGAGCTATCGAGACATGAGTCAACGCCCCAAGAAACGCTCTACCAATACATTACTGTGGCCCTTAGAAAGTTTCTCGTCGATTTGGTCAACTATAGATCCATTAAAAGGCGCATGCTTATTCCAATTGAACACACTCCAAACCTTTGTCTTACAAAATACTGGACATGTTTTTAACGACAACTGACTCTGATGGCTGGTTGGAAGGCACTACTAGTAAGTCTTATTTATTATTTCCCTTTGTTGTTTAGTCTCTATCATACTTTTCTCAGCGCTCAATGGCCGTTGTTGTTGTGTCGATGTAGTTTTTTTGGTTTTTAAAAAATTCAACAAACAAAAACAGCTTCCAAATTCAGCTCATGTTCTCGGGCAATTTGGCTCGGCGTCTGTGGCTTTAAACCTTTGTTGTTCAATATACCGGACATGTTCCCGGTCTGATTTCATTATTGTTTCATAAGACTCTCGCCTAAACTCCCTCGAGGCCTCGTTTTTTCTCACCTTGGTGTCGTAGTACTACGTCGTACCCCCTGGAGCTTTGTCCGAGGCACAGATCTAGGGGTTGTTGATGGGTCAGCTTTGGTGCCAAGATGGTGTTGATTATCCTGTCCGCCTGAGTTTCCATAGGGACGCTGTTGTGTTTACTGTTTCCCCGTTCGTCTTGCTAGCCGTATTTTGATATTATGCAATTTCTAGGAGCAGGAAGTAAGTGAGGTACAAAGATCCCAATGGTTAGAAACTGACCAGCACAAAAGGATGCTATATGAACAGTTTGCAACTTGTTCCCCTCACCGATTCACAAACAAAATAACACTAAGCCAAGCTCGTGATCACGATGAGGTCCTTACTATTGTTTGACTAAAATGGAAGCCTTCAAAGCAAAAAGTTGTACGTTTATTACAATGATTCGTAATAAGGAACTTTCAAACAGCTTTGCTGTGTACCTCAAAGCATTCCGTGGTAAGTAACTCATAATAATTATGTTGTTAATTTTGTTGTGTTAAAGAAAAATCTTTCAATAAATAAAATCACGCTTTTCCCTGACGCTCGCTACGCAAACCATCCGTAAATTTCCCGCTTGCATACATGCGTGACTTATTTATAAGCATAGGGACGCGCTGCTTACTCAGTCGTTATCATTCTAGGCTTTTGTGCGGATGAATCTGATTCGAATTCTTAGTAGGTTATTTTGGGGGAGTTTTCAATGCTCTTCGCCTACTGAGCTCGGACATATCGAAGTGGACACTAAATCCGGAGGTGGTGCATCTTCAATAGCCTAAGAGTGTTGACAGGGGGCCTCAAATATGTACCATATCGCGCAGCTGTTGACATAGAATCCGTTCATTACCTATGGAACGTGTATAAGTAAATTCTGCTTGATCTTTGCCGGGTAGTCACTTCTGACTGCAAAACGACAATTGTAAACACGTCTTATTGACAACACATCGACGTCGTATCTCGTGTTTTCCAGAAGAAGGAGAGAGAGAGAGAGAGAGAGAGAGAGAGAGAGAGAGAGAGAGA